TATCTAGGATGAGGATGAATGTGTATGCACACATTCATATCGCTGCACGTCTCAATCTGTCGTTGTGATGCTTATCGCGCTGCACGGCTAATTGCGTGCGCCAGCACGACCACGTCGGAAGATCGTCTTCGCTGATAGTGGCCGTAGAATGTTCTGTTAAAGGTGAAGCAGTCGAGGAAAAGTTTATCAACGCTTCGATCTCGGCCCCATCACACCCACCCACATCATTCAAACGATGCACATCGATGTTTATTTGGTGGCCGAACATTTTCTGATCAGCTGCGGCCGATGTTCCTCCTGTCAACGACATTTCCGCACATTCCTTAATGCTGCTGTGGGGGTTTTTCCGCCGTTTGACGCCTCTATCGCTTTTCACTGGCGGCACTCGTGTTTTCGGACACCTGGTCTAACCAGCGATGGTATTTGAAATGCCGGCGGATTCACCACCTGCTTGTTGCCAGTCGCACAATTTTTTCGCGGCTGTAGGCACCATTCCCTCATCCTCAGCTGACTTCAATTCCTACCCTCCAGCCCTTTGGTTCCACTTTGGCGCCAACCCCAAAGTGTGTACTTGAACCCTGTGGCATTTGTAGATGCGCGATGAATGGGAGGCGAAGCTCCTCGCGGTTCGCTCCGCTCTGTCCCTTTCAACACCACCTGCTTTTGATTTTCAGGCCTTTCACAGAACTTCCTTTGTGCGATGCCACGGCGTTCGTAGCGTGTGAACATACCGCATTCACGTCGATTTCGCTCACTCCTCAATTCCCTCTTCGATCGCTCTCATGCATTCACAGCAGCTTATCTGTTAATCGCGTCGTGCTTTGGAGCAATCGCCAACCCATCCTCCCCCTCTTCCTCTGGATATCTTTTATGAAAATTCAAAGTATTTTCTACATATCTACAAGAAAGAATCTTTGGCTCCCAACTTTCTCTCATACACTTATCCAATCAAATATATGTAACATATCCAAAGAGCTGAACTTATGCGGATATACTGTATCTTTTGACTGTAGCAGACCTGATCAAATGCCGTAGAAATTGGAACATCAAAACAATTACAGAATATACAATAGAATCTAAAATCCGTAATGTCTATATTCTTTCTAGAAATGCTCTCTCAGTTAGCAGAAATTTCGTAGATGAGCTTTTATCATTTCCTAAGATCTCATCAATAAGCAGAAATAACGGGATTGTCTGAAGTGGGTATTTCTTATCCATACATTAACTTCCATCTTTGCAGTATCTTCTAATATGTGCTTCTTTTTCGTGCATATTGCAACAAGTTTGTTCTCACAGATTAGGTAGCATAGGTGGGTTAGAACAACGTAAGCTTCTCTTATTT